AAGCACGAGGTCATGAGCTGGATCCCTGGCACCAAAATAAATAAATAAAGGAATAAGAAAATAACAAAAGGCTGGAAATATAGTGCAGCACTTGCCTAACAGGCTTAAAGGCCTAGAGTCAATCCCTAAGACTACAAAAAAAAAAAAAAAAAAAAAAAAAAAAAAAAGGAAGAAGAAAAGAAAAATAATTTTGGCATAGGACCACACTGAAAATGTCCATTAAGCCCCTGCCATTTCTGAGAAGAAAACTAATATACAGAGGTAGATCGGCCTTGAGGCATACAGCAGTCAACAAAGAAATGAGAGGAAACATTTAGCTCTTCCTTTATAGAGGAAAATAGAAAGATGGCTGTTCATCCTCACCCGCACTCCCACCCCAATGTCCATCACTTTAGGGATCTGGATAGAGTGGCAAACAGTTGTGGGCTCAACTGACTGAGAGCTGAACTAATCAGGATTTGTTCCAGAAAAATACTTTCAAGATGAAATGTTTGGAAATAAGTTTGATTATGGCCAGAAGATTATTTTTAAGATTATACCACACAACCACCTGCCATGTTTTATTCCTTATAAAGATATTTCCAGGATTTGAGACATTTTTACCCTTAAAGACTTTTTTTAGCTCTGTCTTATCAAGCATTCTGCTGCCCACAGCAAAGTGGCCCCTGCAGAGCAAAGTAACAGTCTGCATCAGCATCACGTCTGGTTCTTGGAATACTGGCTGTTGCCTTCCACATTGGCCACAGCAGCCCCATAATGGTGCAGGGTGAAGGGCAGTCTTGGCCATGTGGGTCTGCTCTCTGATCCTGGGCATCTGTCACCAGAGGCAGCCAGTGATGAATTCCACAATTTTATGACCCTTGGCTGTCATCCCAATGACAAGTAAGTCATAAGCTACTCTATTCCCCTCTGTAAAATTCCACTTCTTCACCCTGGCTTTTCCATCAGAGTTTTTTTTTTTTTTTTTTTTTTTTTTTTGTACTAGGGCGCAAACTCATGACCTCATACTTGCCAGGCAGGTGTTTGTGCCACTGAGCTAAATCCCCAGCCCCTACCAAGAGTTTTTTGAAACAGCGAAAACTGGGCACTGTACCTTACTGTCTTCATGTACGGTCAGCAGAGTTTTCTGCTTTTGCTGCCTCTAATGCCTCCCGGAGGATCCAGGAATAAGGGACAAGCTAGGCATCAAACAATGAAGGAAATGTTTATGTTTTATGGCTTCTTCCATGGATAAGTGACTGAAAAGCAAAGAGTTGCTTGTTTCTATAGTATGTACAACACCTACAACAATTTGGATATTTAACTGATACTGAAAAGTGGAAAAGATCCATTTTCAGTGTTGTCATAGGATTGGGGGAGGTTGAACTGGACAGGAAGTGCAGTAAGAAGAAGCAGGTAAAGTATAGATGCCATATAGGCAAGCCAGAACAGTCTTGGCAGGCATAATGACACAAGGGTGTCATTTGCAGTTCCCTGTCAAGCTTAGAGTCCCGGATTCGAACCAGAGGGGAAACCCTTAGCCTGGGACTCAGAGTAGGGGTTGAGGGTTAAGCTAGAATTAATTGTCCAGGGAGCTGAGAGCACATCTAGCCCAAGATGAACATTACTGCCAAGCCCATGAAAGGGACTGTCTAGCCTTTGCCTTGGCTTTTTTTTTTTTTTGTCTTTTTCCTTTTTATCGGTACCAGGGATCGAACTCGGGACTGCCTGCTTGAAAGGCAGGCGCTTATGCCGCTGAGCTAAATCCCCAGCCCCCTTTGCCTTGGCTTTTACTTTTGATTGTTTGGGGTTCTTTTTAAGACAGTATCACTATGTTGTTCAGGCTGATCTTCAGCTCTCTGTGTAATCCAGCCTGTAACTCTTGGGAATCTTCCTGCCTTCAGCCTACCAAATCCTGGGATTGCAGGTATACACCATCACATCTAGCCTGTGTTTTGGTTTTTAAAGTCTGAATTTGAGTAGAAAAATATTGGCAGATTTTTCTCTTAATTTCCAGAGCTAACCAGGTTCTGTTGATGTGACTGATAATTACTTTATGGTCAGCGAGCTAAGCATTCTTGGAGGCCTGGCCAGCTAGACTGCTTTATTGTGTCAGTTCTTGGCCTACCATGTGCCATAACTTGGCTTAATGCTGGGGAAGCAAAAAGAAGGGTATAGAATGAACTGTAGCTCTTGCCACCAGAATATAATCTGGTTATAGAAACTTGATTTAAATATGTAAGTAAACAGCACAGATAATAAATAATCCAACAAAGAAAGTTATTTGAAAAGGCAGAAAACACAATTTGTGGTCAAATAGGTGGTTAAATGCCAGATGAACAGGAGAATTGGGAATAATCTCTCTTAGTGGAATGGTCTGGAAGAGGAGAGATCTGCTCCTGCTGGCCTGTGAGTGAGGTGGAGAATCACTGGGGGCATGCCAGGCACGGGGAATGCCTCAGCACTGTGATGCTGGGATGTGCAGGGAACAGTCTGGAAAGTGTGAGAGACCTGGTTCAGTGAGTGGGGAGTTCAGGGAGGTTAATGGTTGAAGTTGGAGCCAGTGAGGTAGTTAGAGGAAAAATGTACAAGTACTGAGTCCTCAGCTTTATCTCTTGTACTTTAAGGAGTCATTGAAAGATTTTAGTAGAGGATTGAAATGTACAAAGATGTTTTAGGAGGATAAGTCTAGTGGCCAAGTATAGGCACGTTAAAGGGAAGAATGCTCAGGTAGAACAGATGTTTGTATTTGCATCATTGCTGTGATTGGAAAATGATAAATATTTCAGACCACAAAAGTGGTAGGAAAAGAAAATAAAGAATTGAATGTAAGAGATGCTTTGAAGGAAGGAAAAATTGAGACTTTGGCACCTTCTCTGTGTACCTGTGGAGGTAAAGAATCATTGAAGGTAAATCTAGTTGGAAACTAAGTAACTAGAGTAATATTTTATGATTAGACATTTAGATGTCAGAATGGAGGATAAGATTTGATTTATAGGAAAAGATACGAAGTTCAGCTTTGGAACATCATCTTTGATGTCATAGCAGGGGGCAAAAATATCTTACTAGAACATAGAAAGGGAGCTTGGCCTGTGATAAACATGTGGGAGTTGCCTATATAGAGATGACAGTTTAAACTGTTCAAATGGATGACTTGAGAGAACAGAGTGGGAACACTGGAAAAGGACGTGAACGAAGAAGGGGAGCCACCCAAGCCTAGAGCCTGCAATCCGATACTGAGAGGAGAAGGAGGAGGTTACAGATTCACACCAGCCAGAGAAGAACATCAAGAAGGAAGTTGTGGTCAGCAGTATCAGATGTTGCAGAGAAGTTAAGGAGAATAGGGGCTGACAAAAGGCCACTGGGGTTAGGCAATTAGGAAGTTATTTACCTTTAAGAACTCAGGCATATTTATATAATGGGGAGAGGGGAAGATGAATCAAAAAGTGAGCAGTGAAGAAAGGGGAGCAACATCTCTGGCTTGCAGGTAAGAAGGAAAGAGTTCAGGGGCTGGGGATTTAGCTCAGCAGCCTAAGTGCCTGCCTGGCAAGTGCAAGGTCGTGAGTTTGATCCCCAGTACCAAAAAAAAAGAAGGAAAGAGTTCAGAGGGAGGAGTGTGGCTGGTGCTTCTCTTGATTTCCGAGGTATGAGTCCGTGCATGCATATGAAGGCAGAGGCAAAAGATTACATCTGTGGTTTGTTTGACCAACCTTTGTTGTATAATCACCATGGTCTTGGATCCAGTTAACAGGGCAAAGTTGAAAGCCACAAGGTAAAGAGAACAGCAGAGGAATTTTCAGAGAAAGTGAGAGAAGAGGGAGCACAAGGACTGGGGATTTTAGTGTTATAAAAGAGAACACATCTGGGATTGTAGGGGAGAACTAGAAGGAGAGGATGGACATAGATACAGGAATATTTTGAAATGAAACAGAGAAAAGAGGAAAATCAGGCTGACCCCAGGCTTCTGGACAAAGGGGCTGGTGGATCACTTGCTGAGAGAGTGCCAGCTAGGGTTGGATGAGGGGAAATTTTAAGTAACCATTGGTGCTAGTGTGTGGGGCTCACAGAACTGCAAACACAGGAGTACCTATCAGAAATAAGATGTGTTTATCAACTGCAGCTTAGCAGATGGACAGTATTTGTTTCTACTTTTACCTTTGGCTTTACTTTCCTCTTCATTATTTTTTCTTAAGACATTATATACAATTTTTTATTTTTGTTTTTAGCATCACCATAGTTGTAAATAATACAATTATTTTAGAATAGTGATCTGAAAGATTTCTAAGGTTACCTGAATTGTAGTTACCTTGGTAGGAAATTCTAATTCTTTCTAGTGAAGGTTTTTGATACTGTGAATTTAGTAAAAAAAGTGAGTGAACAAAATCCATCGATTATGCTACCTACCCCTTCCAAAAAGACTGATAAAAGGTTTTAGGCTTTTTTAGTTGAAGACATCAAACTGACTGTTAATCCATTCAAACCTGCAGTATCCATTTAAGACAACCAAGAGGCTAGGCAGTAATGATATCTCATCCAGAATCTGGCAGCTCATGAGTGGCCCTGTAATGGGGCTTGCATGGGAAGATATTTCCACATTGTAGAGATCCTGACTCTCATGGTCTGTTGGCAAGGCTGAGCCGCCCAGGTGGAGGAGCTGTGTGCATGACAGTGACCTGGGCCACTTGATGTAGTCTGAAAGTGGAAGATCTATTTCTGCCAGAAATCAAATAATAGTCATAAGAAATACATGTTGAACAATGTTCTGACATTGTTTAGTATCTGAATAGTGACTGTCCCTTCCTTTCCTGGCCTCCTGTGGTGGTGGTTGGAATGCCAGAACCACTTGGTTCCACAAACGGGGAGACCAGAATGTGCATCTGTGGCATAGAGCATTTTACAGGCTTGTTTTGAAATGGGAGGAAAATATAACTGGAGCCATTGATCAGAATCCAAATGAATCTGCTGAGATTATTCATATAAGACTGCCTCAAATACTTACTTTCCCTTACTTTTTCTTTTAGGTATGGCCTCACATGTGCAAGTTTTCTCCCCTCACACCCTTCAGTCAAGTGCCTTCTGTAGTGTGAAGAAACTGAAAGTTGAGCCGAGTTCCAATTGGGACATGACTGGGTACGGCTCCCACAGCAAAGTGTATAGCCAGAGCAAGAACATCCCACCTTCGCAGCCAGCCACCACAACCGTCAGCACCTCCTTGCCAATCCCAAATCCAAGCCTACCTTACGAGCAGACCATCATCTTCCCAGGAAGCACCGGGCACATAGTTGTAACATCGGCAAGTAGCACTTCTGTAACCGGGCAAGTCCTCGGCGGACCACATAACCTAATGCGTCGAAGCACTGTGAGCCTCCTTGATACCTACCAAAAATGTGGACTCAAGCGTAAAAGTGAGGAGATTGAGAACACAAGCAGCGTACAGATCATTGAAGAGCATCCACCCATGATTCAGAATAATGCCAGCGGGGCCACTGTAGCCACTGCCACTACATCCACTGCCACCTCCAAAAACAGCGGCTCTAACAGTGAAGGCGATTATCAGCTAGTGCAGCATGAAGTTCTGTGCTCCATGACCAACACTTATGAGGTCTTGGAGTTCTTGGGCCGAGGGACGTTTGGGCAAGTGGTCAAGTGCTGGAAACGGGGCACCAATGAAATCGTGGCCATCAAGATCCTCAAGAATCATCCTTCATATGCCCGGCAAGGTCAGATAGAAGTGAGCATCCTGGCCCGGCTAAGCACAGAGAGTGCGGATGACTACAACTTCGTACGGGCCTACGAGTGCTTCCAGCATAAGAATCACACATGCTTGGTCTTTGAGATGTTGGAGCAGAACCTCTATGACTTTCTCAAGCAGAACAAGTTCAGTCCCTTGCCCCTCAAATACATTCGCCCGGTTCTCCAGCAAGTAGCCACAGCCCTGATGAAACTCAAAAGCCTGGGTCTTATCCATGCTGACCTCAAACCAGAAAACATCATGCTGGTGGATCCATCTAGACAACCATACAGAGTAAAGGTCATTGACTTTGGCTCAGCCAGTCACGTGTCCAAGGCTGTGTGCTCTACCTACTTGCAATCTCGGTATTACAGGTAAGACTGTTAGTCATGGGTTCTTGGAAGGCCTAGAGCACTTACCAAAAATGCAGTGTTGTCACCAGAAGAGAGATAAAGGGTGTGCTAGTGGGTGCTGCCCTCATGTGACATTAATGTATTGGGCAGTTAGGACATGAGCACATTGAAATAAGGATCTTGGTTGTAGTGTTAGAGCTGGAAAGGATTGCTGGATGTGGGGAAGAGAGCAGAATACAAGGAATTGGGTCCTCATGGATAGGGAGAATCCAGATAGCTGTTGGAAAAAGGGCATTGGCATGCCATTCAAAGGCAAGGTGGCAGCAGTGTGCAAGCTTCCTGTAGGAGACAAGGCAGACAGCTGCTTGGCCAGATGAGGATATCTGAGGAGTGGGAGAGATGGTTGAAAAGATAGTTGGGACAGGTCTGGGGGTTCCTAAATGCGTATCTCTCAACTTGGAGCAAGTCTTGGAAACAGGTTGTAACATGTTCTGATAAATACTGTACCCTTGTAGAAGAGCCCAAAAGAGGGGAAAGACTCTGCTGGGGCCTGGGCTCACTCCTGTGGTTTGCACTTGGATAATGGAAGAGTTAGATACACTCTTGTTATTTATTTAAATGCCTAGGGCCAGGTAGCTTATAAGGTAGCTAGTGCACTGCTCTGCAGGTTTAAGGGCATGGTGCCAGCATCATCTTGACTCTAGTGTGGGTTTTTGTGGCAGATGGCACCACAGTGGCAGAGTGTGTATGGAAACCAAAAGTCACATGGCCAGACAGGAAACCAGAGAGTGATTCAGGCTCAGGTGTTTACAGCAACTAGCTCTTGAGACGATTCAAGTTTGTTAATTTAACCCCTTCCTTTTTGTTTTGGATTGATTGATTGGTTTTGTAATACTGGGGATTGAGCCTAGAGCCATACACAGCACCCTACCACTGAAGCTACCCTCTAGCATTTTATTTTTTGAGACTAGGTTTCACTAAATTGCTTAGGTTGGCCTCAAATTTGTAATCCTTCCTCAGTTTCCAACTCCTTGGGGTTACAAGCCTGCACCACCATGGCTAACCCTACCTTAGTCCCTTCTGAGGGAAACTCAGCCTGCGATCTTTCTCTAGGCTCCACCTTTTCCCACGTACCATTATTGCCACTCTGAGGACCATGCTTCTAACGCATTAACCCTTGGGATATTACCAGAAAAACTCATACCTTTAGACATTCACCTCTAACATTGGCTGGACATAGTATCAGATGCAGGGATTTAGATTAGGCCTTGCTGTCCTGGAGTTTATAGTCAGCCAGGAGGCTTATACAGAGGACCTAGTCCCCATAAACCAGATCCATACTTCTGGAGTGGGATCCAACACAGATGTTGTTTGACAAGCTTTCCTTGGGATCCCAGTGTGCAGCCAAATCCGCTGAGAACCGCTGTTCTGGTGGGATCAGATATAAGTGCTGGCTTTGGAGTCACAACAGCCGTGGGCTGCACCTGATCCCTCTGCTACCTGACCTGGGCCACCTGCTTATATCTTGTATACTTTCTTCCTGACCTTATTAACAGCCTGTGCTGTGAGTGGCAACCAACCCAAGTGGTGGTTTGGTGAGGATCTGGTGGAGATGGAAAGCAAGGGTCAGACTTGTGGAACAGTGATGGGCTGCACCTGAGGGAATGTTGTACTGTCCTTGGAGGAGAAAGTTGGTGAAAAACAGTGGGCTCCTTAGAGAAGATAGGGCTGACCAATGTCTAAGATAGGACTGGTAGCAGTAAAAGCAGAGTCCCATGAGTCACTGCCATGTGGGTCCTTCTGCCCACACCTCTGGGGAGATGTGCTTTCTCCACGCTCCATCCAAGGCCACATAAGATGGGCTGGAAAGTGCAGCAGAGCTGGGTTGGCACCGCTAACCTGTTACCCACTCCTGAGGCTTCTGGCCCTGTTCCCACCTGGGGCACAGCCTGGCTTCCCACAGTGCTGTCACAAGCCTTCTCCCACTTGCCATCTCTGCCTGCTCCCAGCTGTGGTGTTTGGGTCTTCATCTGGCCAGTTCGCAAGGTTTCTCCACCTGGCTGTCTTCTCTCTTCCCATTCCCTTCAAAGGGGTGTTCCTGGGTCAGAGTAGCTCTTAGTTAGAATCTTCAATCTGGCCTTTGGCGAATCTTTTCACTGATTCAGAAGCTAGGAGGAACCCCTACAACCTCTGCAGGCTCATGAGGGACTGATCTGTTGCCAGTTGTGGCCAGTTGTCTTGCTGTTTGCTGCCAGACCCCTGGCATGGAGGGAAAAAGTGTGCCCAGTGCTCAAGTGGGACCTTGGGAGCTAGAAACCATGGATACCTCCTTGTGCCCAGAGGAAGAGCTGACAGAGAAGGGCCCTTGGTGGTTCTCCCAGGAGTGTGCCTAGACCTTCCTGGAAGGCCAGTTGTGTGTGGCCATCCCTCATGGGTCACAGCATGCCCGTGGAGTGGCAGGGGCTAACTCTACTCACAGTAAACAGGAGGCTGCTCTTGTCACTTTATATTTAGGTTTGCAAATTCAGCACACCAAAGGCTATTTCTTCCCAGATCTTGGCCTGAATTTAGGATGAACCACAGCCAAGTCAGGGGCTGATCAGAGTTTTACTGTTTAGTTAACCTACCCTGCTGTTGGTGAACAGAAACGGCTTCATTAAAGTTTGCTAAAAATTGAGTGTGGTAACTTATAGAAAGTCTTTAAAATATGTGGTTGACAAAAAACGCATCCTTGGAGCAAAATTTGATGATAGAAGCCCTAGTGGGGACTCTTAAGCTCTGTACTCATGCTGTCTTCTGTCCATGTAACTCTTCCCCCATAGAGTTGGCTTTCAGCCTCTGGTCACAGAAAGTCTGGGCCTAGGATTCTGTGGTGAGAGCAGAGGGCAGGTCTGAATTCTCTTTCTGGACTGCTAATATCACCCACTTTGTCGGATCAGACTTTTCAGAGTTCTCCTCCCAAGGTAGGGGTAATTGGGATGACCAACTTCTTGACAGTCCCAGAATTTGTTTCTCCAGTATGGGCTCACTTGTGCCTGATTTCCCTCTGAGAGGCCCTCCCTTTAGTTGCAGCTGTTACCTCTTTCTTTAGGCTTTAAGTGACTGACTGTTCCCTAAAATTCTGGACAAGGTGACCTCTTTCCTATCCTGGGTACTTAGCCTTTGGGTCCTCATGGCCTCACAGTGAGCAGCCCTCAGGTCAAGGGCACAGGCAATGCAAAGGCAGCCCATTTTTTCTGCCTGGAATTAGGCTTCCTATCCAAATTGGTCCCAGTACTCGATCTCACCATCTCGCCCCAGTCCACGTCTGAGCCCTGGGGTATTCTGCTGCCTCCAGATCGATAGGAGCTTTTGAGGACAGTCTTTAACTCTGTCACTACTCATCCTGGCTGTGTGGGACTACTAACTCCAGGCCACATTTATCAGGCTGATTTTCCTGATTGCCATGCTTTTACTGGGGGGAGAACAGGTCAAAGGAGTCTTTGATTATTCACTGTTAAGGCCCATGTCTGAGAAAAAAGAAGCTGGCAGGGACATCTTGAGAGACTGCACATTTGAGCTACCTGGGACAGAGATGTCATCACATGTTAGTGGTGATTCCCTGGCAGGGCCATCAGATTGACCTTTGTCCTGCAGTGCCTGTTTCTACCAGGAGTTCCCTATCTGAGCCGGACACATTGGCCACTAGGGACACCCCACTTTCAAAAGAATGAATACTTAAATGGCCCTTCATTATTATAATTCAGACTGTATTAAGTGAATCATCCACCATCATCTCCTCCCTCCAGCTACCTTAACACATACACACACACACCTGCCCCCCGCATGGCTTTGAAACAGTAGTAGAATCCTCTGTCTTACCCTGGAAGACCTGAGAAATGGGGTAGTGGCCTGGGAACCACTTCTTTCCTCCAACTGCTAGGCATTTGTTTGGCTGAGATTAGGGTCTTATTCGTATTGATATTCCACAAGGCAAACCTGTTTTTCAGGGAACTAGGACACTTTTTCAGCTTTTTCATGTGTGATGCAGGGTGGTCATAAATTTGGCCTCCAACAGAAGGTCAGTTATGTTGTCAGCTGTCAGCTATACTAATTCTTAAACTTTGTTGGATGTACATACCACCTGGAGAGCTTGTTAAGACGGGTTCCTACCAGAATCCAGTCCAGAGCTAGCACACCCTTCTCCAGGAAAGAGCCCTGTGCTCCCCAAGGTCTCTACCCTCCCCTGAAATTGCAGATGGGCAGCTAGTGGATTTAGAACCATTCTTTAAGAAACACTGCTGTGGGGAGAGGGATTTCCTTAGGGGCGTCGTTCTTTCAGGCTTTCACACCCAAAGGAGCCAGAGGCAGGTAATCCCGCTCATGCTCATTACCTCAGTCTACATGCCTTGCTGTTTCCTTATTTAATTCTGTACTGATGCCAGGTTTGCCTTGCTTTTCTTTCTTTCTTAGCAAGCAAAAAGTGGGTGCTGGGGTATTTTCATTCTCAGCATGACTAGCAAACTAAAAATAAGCACAAATACTAAACTCGGATATATTAAAAATATATCATTTGGGCAAAGGACAGTCAGTGATTAAAATATGCCAAGTTTTGTTTTTGCTCTGCAATATTGAAAAATTTTTTTATACAGCCTTTTTTGAGATACTTAAGAGCATTACAAGGATCCTATAAATGGGCATAAAAATTAGGACATGAAAAGAAGAGGGGAAAAAAACCAGGACAACATAAAAAAATTTTTTCAGAATAATTTAATCACTTAACAGTTTATCCTGAGTGTCAGTCAGGCAACTCATTTATTTATGTGCTAACTGGCCTGAGTGTTGCTTAGGCAGGTGTCAGTTCAACCAGTCAATTCCTATATTGAATAAATTTGATAAAATTGTTGTTTTTATATTTCCTATTATCCTATAAAAATTAGTGAAAAAGTAAGCAAGTTTTGGTCATACTGTACTTGAATAATTGGACTGGAAAGTGGTTAACCTCTTGAAGACTATCTTCAAGTTGATTTTATAGTTGTTTG